TTGACCCAGTCGCGCCTGTTGCACCTGTTGATCCAGTGGCTCCCGTTGCACCAGTTGATCCAGTAGCTCCCGTTGCACCAGTTGATCCAGTGGCTCCCGTTGCACCTGTGGAACCAGTTGCGCCTGTGGAACCAGTGGTTCCTGTTGCACCTGTGGAACCAGTGGCACCTGTTGCACCAGTTGATCCAGTGGCTCCTGTTGCACCAGTTGATCCAGTGGCTCCTGTTGCACCAGTTGATCCAGTGGCTCCTGTTGCACCTGTGGAACCAGTTTCGCCTGTTGCACCAGTTGATCCAGTGGCGCCAGTTGCACCTGTGGAACCAGTAGCCCCTGTTGCGCCTGTGGAACCAGTAGCGCCTGTTGCTCCTGTAGAACCAGTCGCACCTGTTGAACCAGTCGCGCCTGTTGCGCCCGTTGCTCCTGTAGATCCAGTGGCTCCTGTTGCACCAGTTGACCCAGTAGCTCCTGTTGCACCTGTTGATCCAGTGGCTCCTGTTGCACCAGTGGCTCCTGTTGCACCAGTTGACCCAGTAGCTCCTGTTGCACCAGTTGACCCAGTAGCTCCTGTTGCACCCGTTGATCCAGTAGCTCCTGTTGCTCCAGTTGACCCAGTAGCTCCTGTTGCACCTGCTGATCCTGTGGCTCCCGTTGCACCAGTTGATCCAGTAGCTCCCGTTGCACCAGTGGAACCAGTTTCGCCTGTTGCACCTGTTGATCCAGTGGCGCCAGTTGCACCTGTGGAACCAGTAGCACCTGTTGAACCAGTAGCACCTGTTGAACCAGTAGCGCCTGTTGAACCAGTCGCGCCTGTTGCTCCTGTAGAACCAGTCGCGCCTGTTGAACCAATAGCGCCTGTTGCACCTGTTGATCCAGTGGTTCCTGTTGCACCAGTTGATCCAGTAGCTCCTGTTGCACCTGTTGATCCAGTGGCTCCTGTTGCACCAGTTGACCCAGTAGCTCCTGTTGCACCTGTTGATCCAGTGGCTCCTGTTGCACCAGTTGACCCAGTAGCTCCTGTTTCACCTGTTGATCCAGTGGCTCCTGTTGCACCAGTTGATCCAGTAGCTCCTGTTTCACCTGTTGATCCAGTGGCTCCCGTTGCACCTGTGGAACCAGTTGATCCAGTGGCTCCTGTTGCACCTGTGGAACCAGTAGCGCCCGTTGCACCATTTGATCCAGTAGCTCCTGTTGCACCTGTTGATCCAGTGGCTCCTGTTGCACCAGTTGATCCAGTGGCTCCTGTTACACCTGTTGATCCAGTGGCTCCCGTTGCACCAGTTGATCCAGTGGCTCCTGTTGCACCTGTTGAACCAGTGACGCCTGTTGCACCAGTTGATCCGGTAGCTCCTGTTGCACCTGTTGATCCAGTGGCTCCTGTTGCACCAGTTGATCCAGTAGCTCCTGTTGCACCTGTTGATCCAGTCGAACCAGTTGCACCTGTTGATCCAGTAGCTCCTGTTGCACCTGTTGATCCAGTCGAACCAGTTGCACCTGTTGATCCAGTAGCTCCTGTTGCACCTGTGGAACCAGTGGCTCCTGTTGCACCTGTGGAACCAGTGGCGCCTGTTGCACCAATGGCTCCTGTTGCACCTGTTGATCCAGTGTTTCCTGTTGCACCAGTTGATCCAGTAGCTCCTGTTGATCCAGTATCTCCTGTTGCACCAGTTGATCCAGTAGCTCCTGTTGATCCAGTGGCTCCTGTTGCGCCAGTTGCACCAGTTGATCCAGTGGCTCCTGTTGCACCAGTTGATCCAGTGGCTCCTGTTGCACCAGTTGATCCAGTTGCTCCTGTGGCTCCAGTTGGTCCTGTTGCGCCAGTCGGCCCTGTACTCCCAGCTGGCCCCGTTGCACCAATTAACCCAGTATCACCTGAAACCAATCGTTGATTCACAATACACTCTCATGAAACATTCGAATGTATATGAAATTACCTGTTCACCAAGTTTTTTGCAAATTGTTACTCTAGATTTTGTTTGTTTCATTATTTAACAATGTACTCTGGGAGCGAGGAGGAAAATTCTCAATAAATGGTGCATAGTTGGTTTGGCTGTATTTTCAGTTAGGGGAGAGTCATGGATATAACTGCCACCTAGGTGATAGCTTCGTAGGGTGGTAGGAAGTTCATTTTTGATGGGTTAGGGGAATTTGAATATTAGTAAAAAGTGTGTACCCCAGGGGGCAAATGCATGACCCCTTTTCGAACTATTTTGATACTAAAGTTTCAATTAGACACTGTAAGTGGTTGGGAAAATTCATATGAAGTTCCCAATAGCAGGGTTAGTAACCCTGAAAGATGCAAAGCCATTGAAGAAGTGGGAGCTTTGAAAAAATTGTAGATTTTTCGAAAGATTCGACATTTTTGACACGTGGATTTTGTGTACTCTAGATTGGTTTTAAGGAAGTTAAGGGTTTTAATCAAGTCCAAAATTTGAAAAATTGTAAATATAAGGTTTACAAATTACATGTATAGCCATGGTTGACCCCTATAGTTTCTAGATCCATCCAACTATGATGATATTTATGGTTTCGTTGTGTGGAAACTAAATTTAAAACATATGATTTAGAAGGGTTTTAAGGAAGTTTATGGTTTTTAAGTGCAAAAGTCCAAACTTTATAAAAATTGTAAATATAAGGTTTCAAATTTACGAATTTCAGGTATAGCCAAAAATGACCTTTATGTTTTTTACATCTATACCTCAGTGATGAAAAACATATTTTAGGAGTGTTTAACTAAGATGTAAAATTATCCCTAAGATGAGTTTTAACTAAATTCAGGGTTTTAAACAAGTGCAAAATTTGAAAAACTGAGAAATATCAGGTCTCAAATTCACGTAATTCGGGTACAGCCTTGGATTATCGACGTTTATTAGCATAATAGTATCAACTACGATTTCATAGCTTAGAGACCAGGTGTAGAATATATTCCTACTGCAGCAGTTTGTTTGCAGCTTATAGATGGAGTGAAAAGTCATGAACTACAGTAAAATCTTTCTAATCTGAATTCTAATTGGACCAGCTAAAAGCGTTCTAATTAGAGTTGTTCGGATTTTTAGGTTTTTACATCTGCAATATTCTGGATTTTGAAGAAATATGAATGCATTCTCAATGAACATACTTATAATATTTCTATTGACCCAAAGTCTGAAATCTGTTGCGATACTCTCCATGCTCCTTTGAGACCTGCTATTTCTCAATTCTTCAAATATTGCACTTGTTTAAAATCTTAAACTTCCTTAAAATTCATCTTGGGTATGTTTTACATCTTAGTATCACACTCTAAAACCATGTTTCATCATTGAGGTATGGATGTAAAAACCACGAGGGTCATCCATGGCTATACTTGAAATTCTTAAATTTGAAACCTTATATTAACAATTTTTCAAATTTTGGACTTGTTTAAAACCATCAACTTCCTTAATTAAAACCCATCTGAATTATGTTTTACATCTTAGTTCCACCTACAAACCATAAATATCATCAAAGAGGGATGGATCTCGAAAAATAGGGGTCAGCCATGACTCTACCTGCAATTTGTAAATTTTATACCTTATATTTACAACTTTTCAAATTAAATTAAACTTTAAATTAAAAAAAAATAAACTAAACCAGTTAGAATTACTGTATAGACTCGGTTGTTCAATGGTATTTACACGGAATCGGGTGTAGCGCATGCAAATTGTCTAAAACCTATTTGATCACCTTTCGAGCCTGTTGGTCCCGTAGCGCCAATCGCATATCCGGTTGCACCAGTTGGACCTAAAATATAAATTGAATTTAAATTCGATTTAAGATGAATGAAAGACACAAATTGATACGTATAGCTATTTGAAAAAAGAAACCACAACTAGACCCACGTCCCCCGTTAATGGGAATACTAGTGCCATGTATGGCGTGCATGTTTGTTACATGCATAAGAGGCCTCTTGTGGAGAAGTTGGGATATACTTGATGCTTGATGTGTGGGTATTTGATCTTATGGTCATATGCATGTAGCAAAACCAATTTGTAGGCCTATATTTTACACTGTGTTGTACAAGGAAGTATTTTTAGAAATTTAATAAACACTGTAATATACTCCTCAAGAAAGGTTAAGGACCAGTGGTTTTCTTCATAGGTTTACATGTTAACCCCCATATTTGTTTGAATGACTAATATCTATAGGCTTGGAACAATGTGATTCTATTTTCTATAAAGTCTGCAAAATTCAATGTTGTATCTTTATAACAATGGGTCAAACTTTGATGTCAAAATCAATGAATTTCATGAAATTTAGAAAAAATGGCGGACCCCATGTAAACCAATAGGAAATGGTTGGGTAGCCAAGTCATCCGAGGAACAATCCATCCATCCGATTGCTTTCAAAATTAAAATTTTAAGAGACAAAAATTTAAGAGACAATCCTCGTATTGAAATAACAAAGGTGGTCGGTGAGGTGGTCAAAATTAGTTTAAAGCTCTGTATCGCTAATTTTGACAATATAAGCTAGACATCTAGCATGTAGAACCATTCGATTTTCTACTCAAAAAGTACTAGTATCTTTAATTTACTGAATAGATATTCAAAAATTTGAGTTTTCCCCTAAGCCACCATATGTTTAACATGGAATCTGCCATTTTTGTTAAATTTCATGAAATCTATCAATTTTGACATCAAATTTTGACCCATTAAAGGAGATACAACATTGAATTGTGCAGACTTTATAGAGAATAGAATCAAGATACAGATTCATTTAGTTTAACTTTTTTTTGAGGAGTATATTTCCAAATTCATCGGATTTATTTTCGAATGTCTTGGACTACGAGTACATAAATTTTATATGTTACATTCGCATTGAATAGCAAAATGCACTTACATAACTTCAATATAGTTGAAATATTACATTGTACAATTTGTATATTAAATCAAATAAGTAGACTTATATATATTTCGCCAAATAGATTGTAGTTGAAGAAGTACACTAATGTTTGAAAAAAATTACCTATTGCTCCCGTTGGACCAGTGGCACCAGCAGGTCCCGTGCCCCCAATCACTGCTTGGCCTATAAGAGAGAACCAAATGGTGCAATAATCCAATTAGAAAGTCGACAGTACATGTGCACCCATCGTGATTAACCATTACATCTCATTTCTTCTCTGCCCGGAGATGCCATGGTATAATGAGCTAGATTTGGTGATCCGGGAGAGCCTAAAATTGAGTAGTTTTGAGATTTTCCATCCCAGCTCATATTCATCTCATTGGGGTCATAAAACGTGTGCACCTGTGTCGGTGCAAATATCTGATGTTCAATAAAATAGTTTTCATTGTCGAAAAGGACACTGCCAAGAATATGCCCCAAATCTCAACTTCTTGATTTCTACCAAAATTGCACTGATTTACCCTTACATGCCCTAACTTAATTTTATAAGCAATTACCAGTTGCACCAGCCGGTCCGGTCGCCCCTATACTAGGAAGACCATCCAGTCCCTGAACTCCTGTTGCCCCAGTAACACCTCTTAGACCAAACCCTGTGGGTCCAGTTGCTCCTGCTGGTCCGGTAGCTCCAATTCCTAGTTCGCCACGGTCACCTGGACTTCCAACATCACCGGAGGGTCCTGTTGCTCCGAATCCAGTTGGACCTGTTGCCCCTGCAGGTCCCGTAGCTCCGATGGCTAATGAACAAGTAAGCTAAATACTTTTCAATTCAACAATAAAAATATGGTTCTCTTAAGAAAATCTGGGCCCCATTTTCAGGAATTGAATTGAAGCCCATTTCTATCAAGATTAGAACAATGTTTCAATTGATTTTGAAAATGATAACCAACATTACTACATTAGGTCCTAAAATGAAACAAAAAAATCCACAAACTTAAGAATGGTGGACAGTACACGTTTACTGTCAAATTAGGGGTATGCAAGGAAGTCACACAACTTGCAGATTGTTTCAAACATTTTCAAAGACAACGTTAGAAAACCCATGAGCTATATTAGACAATAAAAAGTTAAAACAAAAAGGCTTTTTATGCAAAGCCAAACAAAAAAACACGGCACACCCCTGGGTAACATCTTAAAATAGATTACGATCTCTCTTAAACTTACTAATTTGTCGCTTGAAAAGATGCCTCTTTCCAGTATGGAAGTCATTTATTGTTGCCTCCGGTTGCATTTCCAGCAGTATGTCATTGTCAGGTAGTTCACTGTGAGGTTGATATTGTTGTTCTTTGGAAAGTTTGTCTTGATCGTTAGGTATGTACTTCTCATATCTTGGTTTTATATTTAGATTGCTTGGTGAATCGTACGGATTGTCTGATACCATTTGTTCATCGTTAGCGAAATATTGTTGATTGTTTGATGATTCGTGTTGATTGTCTGAAAAATCCAGTTGATTGTTTGACAATTCTTGTTCATTGTCTGAAAAATCTTGTTGATTGTTTGATGATTCTTGTTGATTGACTGACAATCCTTGTTGATTACTAGGCAGAAATGTTTGTTTTTCATGCAGTTGTAGTTGTTTCTCATATTGATAATCTTGTTTGGTAGGGCGATCGTGTTGCTTTGCGTTGTGATATCGATGATAAGCAAGTAGTTGATGTTCTTCATGTGAATCATGTTGCTTGCCGTCTTGATCTAAACGTTGGTCATGTGGCTCCAGTCGATTGTTATTTGGATCTTGTTGCTTGTCATGTGGATCTTCTTGCTTGTAATGAGGATCTTGTTGCGTGGTGTGAGGATCTTGTTGCGTGGTGTGAGGATCTTGTTGTTTGTCGTCTTGATCTAAACGTTGTTTCTGTGGCTCCAGTCGATTGTCATGTAGATCTTGTTGCTTGTGATGCGGATCTTGTTGCTTGTTATGTGGATCGTCTTGCTTGTAATGAGGATCTTGTTGCTTGTTGTGAGTACCATGCATCTTGCCAGGTAGAATATGAGCCTCGTCTAGTTGATTTCTATTCTTGGTCTGATTCAAATATTGCATGGAATGGTCAACTTCCACCTCATCTGAAAAAAAATATAACATAAATCAATTAATGTTTATTTTATTGTACATGTTCAGTTTCTTTCTAGGTCTAATCAACAGTGTTTGCAATTCTCAGCTTGAATCAACAGTGTTTGCAATTTTCAGCTTGAATCAACAGTGTTTGCAATTCTCAGCTTGAATCAACAGTGTTTGCAATTCTCAGCTTGAATCAACAGTGTTTGCAATTCTCAGCTTGAATCAACAGTGTCTGCAATTTTCAGCTTGAATCAACACTGTTTGCAATTTGAGGCTTGAATCAACAGTATTTGTAATTCTCAGCTTGAATCAACAGTGTTTGCAATTCTCAGCTTGAATCAACAGTGTTTGCAATTTGTAGCTTGAATCAACAGTGTTTGCAATTTGTAGCTTGAATCAACAGTGTTTGCAATTTTCAGATTGAATCAGCAGTGTTTGCAATTTTAAGATTGAATCAACAGTGTTTGCAATTCTCAGCTTGAATCAACGGTGTTTGCAATTCTCAGCTTGAATCAACAGTGTTTGCAATTCTCAGCTTGAATCAACAGTGTTTGCAATTCTCAGCTTGAATCAACAGTGTTTGCAATTCTCAGCTTGAATCAACAGTGTTTGCAATTCTCAGCTTGAATCAACAGTGTTTGCAATTTGTAGCTTGAATCAACAGTGTTTGCAATTTTCAGCTTGAATTAACAGTGTTTGCAATTCTCAGCTTGAATCAGCAGTGTTTGCAATTTTAAGATTGAATCAACAGTGTTTGCAATTCTTAGCTTGAATCACCTGTTCATCATGTTCTTTCATAATAAATATAGTCTTGCTTCAAGACTGTCTACTTCTCCAACACAACACAAAGTAGACAGGGGGGGTCCAAGGTCTTGGAGTACTGTAAATTCAATCATCGATAGACGCTATACAAACATTTTCCTAAAAAGATCAAAATTCGAAACAAACCGCTCTCTGAGAAGTTTTATTAACGGAATCCCCGTAAACTTACTTATTTCTGAGTACAGTAATAATATTTCGTGAGAAAAACTGGTAAGAATTTTCAATCCTTTACAGAGATCACATAATCATGACGTCACCAAAAAAGGACGTCACCAAAATAATCCGTATTAGTTTCAAACTATTTCTCCAATTAAGGTAAGTGTGTACGTTTGGAAATTTAATGCAATCCTCATTGGAATCGCATATTCTAATTTGAACTTCTCCTTTCCGACATTAGTCCATGGTATGACTTCCGAATATGAAGGATCCGTAGCACACTATGCGCAGCAACATTTGAAGCAATATTTATAAAGGTGTACATGTCTTGATTCTTTTAAAATATCATTTGCTGAAAAAACTTCCGGTTTTCGGGTCGAAAAATGTATTTCATCACAAGGGGTCAAAAAACGTAAATATTTTGATTCGAACTTTTATACATTTTATAAGACACATACAGATGTACCGTTATTCTAAGCATACGAACAAAAAAAAGATTATCATAATTTAAAAATATACTATTTAATTTCAACGTAGATGTCGGTGTTTAATTAGTGTAATTATGCAAGTGTGTTTTTCAGATTTGGTTATTTCAAATATGAGCCAAGTCTCATCAAAAGTGTGTGGAATATTCACAGGTAATTTATGATTGGGAACATAATAGTTTTCTTACCATTTAAAACATCTTATTACCAGACATCTTATTTCCATATCATCGCAAGTGGTCTAACAACAAATTATTGTTAATGTTTTATAAATCATAATACAATAAAAATATGTAAGATTTATATCTAATTAAATGTTACAGAGGTATTGGAATGTTCATATATTCCAAGGGCATGGCTAATAATCAATTAGAGTCATATGCAATCGAACGCCTTACAATTCTTCCTCGACGTTAATTGTGGCTAACATCAAGTTTTCTGCCGGCTGTTTCTTTGACCTTACCGCTGGGTACAATCAAATTTTATGAAGATAATGATAACGATTTTTCTCAATTATTCATGAATTCGATCAAGTATTGATGGTTGTTTTATAAGCAACTGGGCTATATCTAACTACGAGGAATAGAATTTTAGCTGTAGTCCCAATTAGTCAAGGAAGAGCAATAGGCCCTCCTTTCCTGATAATTTTCACCGCTGAATAAAAGTTTATCTCAAAACGTATTGAGACCCATTTTGTGAGAAACTAGCATAATTTAAGCATTTGTCATTCCAATATAAAAGTGATTAATTAGTAGCATTATCTTATCAATATCTGAGAAACAATACAAAACGTCGATACACTGATTACGTATTTTTGGTATTGATAAGAAAAATGACCTCAAACTTATAGCTTAGAAACCTAAATCATATATTTAAAATCATTTAGTATTATTTTCTGTTGCATTGTCACACTACCCTACCACGTGACCACATTTAAAAATGATACAGGGTACAGTTAAGTTGCAAATGGAGCGGGTATTTTCTATCTTTGTCCATTGGGCTTTTCTGGTAATAATACGTTGCAAACTGCTCGATGAATCTATAGTAGAACACTTAGAATATGTGTAAAATCTAGTATACATTCAGAACTATGGAAATAAACAAACGTCCTCCATTTGCAACTTCCCTGTAGCCTGTACTTCTTTTAAAGGAATACAGGATACAGTATGGGGGTATAGTAGTGTGATTGTGTACTCCAAATTGTGAAAAATCGGGATTTTATTTTTTGGTGATTTTTTGACCTCTGATAATGGCAGGCATAATTCAGTCTAAAAGCCGGATGTATATTGAGCGGTTATAATAAAAATTGTTAGGGAACATATGTAGGTATGTTAATGTAAGGTCAAATATCGCTGCACTATAGTGTGCTACCAGCTCCTTTATTAGACGTCCTAGAGATTTCATACCATGGACTACATTGTCTACATCTTTTAGCTTTGCACAGAGAGTGCACTAATGTACCAAGAAAAGAGTATGGATATATATTTCATTTAGAAAATATATGAAAAATGTATGCGAAAATTCAATGACCTACTTTTTAATGACCTACTTTTTAAAAAGTAGGTGGCTGGATTTTCCCGTTTTATCATGTACATTGGTGCACTCTTTGTGCAAATCTTAAAGATGTAGACGATGTGGGGAAGGAGAGGTTCATGTTTGATGAATAAAATGTGACTCTATGAAGATTGCATCAAAATGGCCGAAAGTACACACTGACCTTAAAGACATTCAATGCAAGGCAACACGTTACTACGGAATTTCTCATATAAAATTTCTAAGTAAAATTACGATTCCTCTGCACCCTGATGTCCAATAAACATCATTCAAGTATCTATGTGTTCCCGACACGTTTGGGCACCCGGGAATGACAACGTCTACTCAAAGTTTGCATGTCATATTGATGTAATTTATGACTAAAATTGGGAAAACAAAAAGGGTTTGTTTTAAAGTCAGAAAGCCCCCATGAGACAATACAAACTCAGAGAAAACCCGGAAGACTGCAGATTTCATGAAATGTTTTAGGCTCCTTTAAACAAGAAAAGTACATCTAATCCCCATATAAAACACTGGCCTACGTGACATACTAACATGTTCAAACTGTAATATAAAGGAAAATTTAAAGGAAAACCATTGGGTTCTTGGGAAAATGACCCCAGGGGTAATAAAGTAGCCATATTTTTCATAATTGCTGTCAGAATAGTCTTAAATTGCACAAAACTACTTGAAAAACTCTAGTAAATTCAAAAACGTAAAAAGTTTTTAAAACTACTCTGAATCGCCCAGATTTGAAGTTTATTAGTATGAAACATATTCTGGACGGAGGCAAAAAGGGGAATTTTCATGAACAAATTTAAACGTTTTTGCTGAATCAGTAGTTTTCGCTTTTTACCCCCCAAAAACCACTGATTTTGACGATATTTGGCTACAATTTCGTCCTTAATGACCCCAAGATGTCATATGTTGTCGTAAATGGGGAAGCCAATGAGTTGCTGCTCATAATAAAGATTGAATTTTCCATGTTATGGTTTCTAGTAAAGAATGAAGGTACATATCAGGGGTACAGTCAGAGATTGGTCAGTCAAGTGTCAATTTTTGATGTATTTGTCCACTCTGAATGACCAAATTCGAGTTAAAACTATCTCAAAAGTCTCAATTCTCTAGGCCAGAGTCAAATCTGATCAAATTTGTCATCATTTTTCAAATCAGTAGGTAGTTGAATGGAATAAAATATCAAAAAATGATAATTTGAGTAAAATTTGGCCTAAGTTGGCCTAGTCTTCAGGATTGAGTGAAAAGGCATAACAAATGCTTACAAAATGCTGGTAACTACTTAAAGAATTTTGAATTGATGGAAGAATAATGACAGTTACTATGAACATTAATGAATATACTTAATGAAATAATACAACCTAGTACATATACAGTACACTGTATGTCACATATTCAGCGATGAATACAGTGTCCAAACATCTTATAAAATTACTGTTGTTTTTCAATTTTTGTATTTTTTCTGAGCTCCACCTTGTCGCATCACCAGTTACCATGGTAGCAAAAATAATAGAATAATGATGGCATAGAACAATGAAATCTTCATGGTGTGATCCTATATATTTGGATTAAATTATGTGAAAAAATCAGTAAGAAAGGATAAAAAATGGCAAAAATAGAGCCAACGGTCCAGAAATTCCTGATCACCCTTCGTATATATATGATTATAGCTATCACATCAGGATAGAAAAGGTTTGGCCAGGAATGTTCCTCTAAATGTGAAGTTTTCTTTGACATGTCACTTTAGTCAGGAATGCATTCACAGATAAGGAAAACAGAATACAAAATCTTGTGACTTAGTCAAAAAAATATGGCTGCCATTTTTTGTACTTTTGATTAACTTCACCGTTACCTTAAATACTTTATAGTTGAAGCAAAGAAATTAATTTATCATTTGTGTCAATTTGGTTGGGTAGACAGGCCAGGAAAGCATTTCCCACAATATACTGTAGAACC